TATTAACTATAATTTATAATATTTTTAATGTTTGTTAATGAAAGAAATAATTTATTCCATTAACTACAATTTAATATAATATATAATTATTAAATTATAATTAATAAATAAAATTAAGAATTATTTTGTCCAATAACAAAAATTAAAAATATATAAAATATTTTAAATTATAATTAAGAAATAAAAATTAAGAACTAATTCTTTCATTAACAAAAATTTAAAATACGTATTTTTTTTGTAAATTATAGTTAATAAATAAAAATAAAATTACTTCTTCCATTAACAAAAATAAAAATATATAAACTATTATAAATTATAGTTAATAAAAAATTATATTCAAATATGCAATTATTTCTTCCAATTTTCATATTCAATTCTTTTATTTTCTTCTAATTTTAACTGAAATACGATATATATAATATTTTGTAAATTAAAACCAAATCAGTTGGTTATCTAAGTGGTTCAAGCGTGTGCATTTTACCTTGAAGACTCATGACTGATTCCTATTGGGAGCATTAATCACCCTTTCATTTTCTCACTTTTAAAAGTGTAACTATCTAATTGGAAATAAACTTCATTTTAATTAAATTAAATTATGACCAAATTGATTAAATGTATAAATATTAATAACCAAATATGCAATTATATAAAGTTTTTTAACTATCACGTCACCTCATTTGTTAAAAGTTAACGGACAGTGACTTGATTGAAACATTTAAATATTTGGATGATCTGATTGGTTAAATTGAAACATTGGTGATCAAAGTGAAAATAGACTATAGTTAGGCGGTCTTCCGTATAATTTACCCTTAAATTTATTACAATCAAAATTAAGATATAAGTAATAAAGATTAAATATTAAATTATATAAATTTTAAAAACGTTAGTTAGACAAACCTAATTTTTTTTTTTAAAAAAAGATTATGATTAATCTAACAAAATTAAATTTGGGTTGGTCTTACAGCCGAAATTAAGACCAACCCAAATTGAAATCTAGGGATAAAGTTACAATAATCCAAGGGTCAGGAACAGCATAAACCTTATCTCACCAAAAGGGGGAAAGGATTTTCATCCGTCAGATCATTTATTTCAAAAGATAGGGTTTCTCCCCACCAGCTTTTCATTTCATATATAAATACAAGCAACACGTAAACCTCCTACACCTACCCTAAACTTTAGACGTTTCTCTTCGTTCTTCTCCTCCAAAATTTTGCTTCATATTTTGTTGGTTTTCTTTTTCAATTCTATGGGCATTGAAGAATTTGTATTTCAGGTCCGGTTCATCTGCTTGGACAGAGTAATCACGGTCGACAGATTCTCTTGATTCTGTTCAACTTTTGCAACAGATTTTCTTGGTATAATCCACCATGTTACTCTGTCTAAACAGATGCTTAGGATCGTCTCCTGTTTCTTGAAGAAAACTGGGTTTTCAGGCCATGGAAACGATAACCGTAGCTAATTTAAGTGATTTTAGTTTTTTTTTCTGTCAGATCTTGATTACTATGGCAATGGTGAATAGCATGTGCTTTACTGCTTTTATTTTCTGAAATTTTCGAATCTAAAGAATCTTTGATATAAAATTAAAATGTACTTTATAAATCGTTTCTCCCCCTTAAAAATATTATTTGAGTTGCTCTACCGTTTAATATCGTTTGAAAGAAAAATAAGAGAGTTTAGAGTTTTGAATAAGGAATGATTTGATGGAGTATGAGTGGATCTAGTGTTTTGAATTGTGTAAGCTTTGGATGTTTAAAGAACATGTGTGGTTTAGGAAGGGAAAAGACTTACCGATGAAATGTTTGGCAATGAGGAGTTTGAAGGAGCAATAAGAGAAGCTAAAGTCGGAGAGTATGAAGATGAATCCTACAGAGGATGAAAATGTTTTAGGTTAAACTGTATAAATTAATAATAGTTTAGACATTAATTATCAATTTATAATAAATAGATTATTTGTCGTTAAAAATCTTTAGGGTGTTAACTGATGATTTAACACTATTTTATCACACAAGACGGTCACACACACCGTCAGATAATGATGGTGTGATGAATCCCGAAGATGCAAAACCAAACTAATTGAACAACAGTAACAGCGCATATGAGAGACTTATCTCACAAAATTCAATATAAAAGAGAAGGAATCGTCCATTATAAACTCATTTAAAGATATATCCCTTTCTTGTTTATTCTGTATATGTTCAGACCAATTATTATGATAATTGCATCGTCTTTATTAGTCTCTTTTTTTGTCACCTACCTCCACAACGGATATCGTCTCTGTATGATCGAACTTTTTTCTTTGACGAACAATAGTCAATTTAGCTGGAAATGAGAGAAGAATCTAAAGATAAACTTTTTTTTAAACGTCAGTCGAATTTTGGAGAGTCAAGCAATTGGCATGTATCGTCCTATGTGGCAAAATGGTGTTAAATTATTGGTTTAACCATATTAGCATTGTGCTACGTCTAATAACAATTGTTAACGATAATTGATTACCAATTTGTTATTTTTAAAACATTAGTAGAGACGAGATAAATTTTTAATAAAATATTAGTGATTATTTATATAATTTATTTAATATTTAATTAATATATTAATTTTAACTACTTAAAATAAATATATAATCTTAGTAATAGTGGATAATTGTTGATCCTAAAGAACGAAAATGTAAGTTGGGTAAGTAATTTTGAACATTTTCAAGACGGCGACCGACCCATAAAGGTCCCAACATTTTCTTGAAGGAAGTTCGTTTTGTTCTTCCAATTATTGTCAACTCCAGTTTAGAGTTAAGTCGCCTTCCTTGCCTCTCTGTTATACAAAGTACAACTCTTTCTCTCATGTTGCTAAAGAGCAAAACTCATTCGAACCATGCAGTTCAAAGAACAATCAAATCCCTCAGGTCCCTCTCCTCTTTGTTCACCAAGGACCCTCTTCAACACTCTTCACCAATACCTTACAAACCCAGATTCGAAAACCCAAAAAACCCTCACTTTTTGGGCCCCAAAGACTTCGAGTACTTCGTCAGGCATCAATGTAAATCAGGTAAACTCGCCCTCAACGATGCTCTCACTTATTTTGACAAGCTAATAGCAACCCAACCTTCCCCGTTGATTCAAACGATTAATATCGTATTGGGTTTTGTCTCGAAGCTTAAATGCAATCCGGATGTGTTTTCGATGTATAGGAAGTTGAATGCTGAAGGCATTAAGCCGAATTTGTATACTTTAAGTATTTTGTTGGATTGTTGCTGTCAGTTAAAACAGATGAGTTCTGGGTTTTGTGTTTTTGGTCATGTTATAAAGAGGGGGTTCGAGCCTGATTTGGTTACCGTTGGTATTTTGTTGATGGGTATGTGTGGGGATGGTAAGGTTTTGGATGCAGTTAAGATTTTTGATAAGATGTCTGAAAGAGGGTTTCAAGGGGATGGTGTTATATATGGGATTCGGATTAATGGGCTTTGTTCCGTTGGCCATCCGGCTATGGCTCTTGAATTGCATAGGAAGATGGAAAAGAGTAATTTTCAAGGGACTTTGATGACATTTAGTTTGGTTATTGATGCTTTCTGCAAAGATGGGATGGTTGATGAGGCAGCTAGCTTGTTTTCGGAAATGGTTTCGAAACAAATTACTCCGGATACTGTTGTTTATGGTTCTTTGATCAATGGATTTTGTCGTTTGTAGGTTGAAAGAAGCTGTTAACTTTTTTGACAAAATGGTTAGTCAAGGACTGACTCCGGATTTGATCATATATAACACTATGATTCATGGTTTCTGCCAAGTAGGGATGTGGGAAGAAGCTATGAAGATTTTCAATCTGATGGTTGGAAAGGGGATTTCTCCTGATGTATTAACCTTCACAACTTTGATAGATTCTCTGTGCAAAGAGGGAAAGACGGGAGAAGCTCAAAGGATATTCGATTTGATGATTCGACAGGGGGCAAAGGCAGACATACAAACTTATAATTCACTCTTGAATGGATTGTGTTTAAATGGTCAGTTAGACCAGGCAGACAAACTATTTGGTTTGATAGTTGATAAAGGTCTTGAGCTTGATGCTTTTAGCTACAATATAATGATTAGTGGCTATTGCAAGAGTTGGAAGATGAAGCTTTTCAACTCTTTCAGAAAATGCATGACAATGGAATTAAGCCCACTGCTGCTACTTACAACACATTCATAGGAATGCTTTTTCAAGCAGGACAAGTGAGCACTGCACAAAAGATGTTCGACGAGATGCATGTTTTTGGAAAATCTCCATTATTATCTATATATATTGTCATGTTGGATGGGTTATGCAAGCATGGCCATATCGACAAGGCTCTTGATATTTTCCGTTCCCTTGAAAGTACCAATCACAAACCCAGTATTGAGACTTTTAGCATACCTATTGACGGAATGTGGAAAGCTGGAAGATTGGAAGAAGCTAGGATAATGTTTAATCGAATCTCCGAGAAAGGGTTGTCTCCTGATTTTGTAACATATAACATAATGCTCAGCGGCCTGTGCAAGAACCGTATGCCACTGGTGGCTGATAAATTGGTCACGGAAATGGAAGAAAAGGGCTGCTTACTCGATTCCATCTCATATAATGTCGTTATCAATGGACTTTTACGGGAAAAGGAGATTGAAAAAGCGATGAATCGTTTGGAGCAAATGCGCAGAAGGAACTTCTCGGCAGATGACGGAGTTACTTCAATGCTGCTACGCCTTGCCATCAAGGATGAACAATTTCGTGCAGCTCTCGAGTTCCTTCCAGATGTTATCTGGAAAAAAAATGCTGCTTTTTTCCCCGCCCTAGTTGATTATATTTTACAATCTTTATCAGTTTCCTGCTTCTGTATGAATTTGACTCGATGATATTCACAAAATACAAATTTTCTTTCAAACTTTCAGTGTAAACTGTACAGTAGATTGATACTGGAAGACTACAGACATGATTAAAGGAAAAATAAAGAGACAGAAAGGAAAAATACAGAGACAGATCATCCATGATGGTATATACAAGTGAATTTCCAATGCTATCGCTTCCTTTAATTTCTTATGCTTTGTAATCATCAGCTTCCATTGGGGTTACAACTCCATTGATGGCCTCAAATTTCTCAGCTTTTCCCAGCACTATCTCAATCTTCAGACAAACACAAACAGAGAGTTAGGCATATATGTCATTCATAAACGAAGAAAGACATGCTAATTAGGACGCTAAATTATGCAAAATCAACCAGTGACGAACTTTAGCTTTCTCGATCTGACGACCCTTTCTATCCTCATGGGTGCTGAGCACAGTCGATGTCGTTATTCCTGTTGCATTTAGAAAAAACTGGAATCAGGGACTGGTACAGAGCAAGGTATTTAAACCAGCACTGTTCTGTTACCTTTCTGGATTGCGAATCCATTTCGCTTCAGAATCTCAGCTATGGTGACAACAGTAGGAATAGCTGGGTAAAATAACAAGTATCAGCAAAGATTACAATGACAGACAATTTTGATACATGCATACATAACAAGATTGATGATCCTGTGTGATGGTAATAAGATTAAAGTAAAGAATCAAAGAAATTGGTACCCATTCCTAAGCCGCAAAGTTCAACCTCGTTGAACTCATTGATGTACCTCTGCAACAAAGCAAGCATGGGATCAGATTGGACCAAACCCCCTGAAGAAGGGAGATTTGCAGTTTACTTCAGGAACCAAGAATGCTTTTTTATTACCTTGGCACGATTCAGATAGAAGACGAAAGGCTTCTTGGTGTTGGAGACTTGCACCTCCTTCTTTGTTTCTTCTTCTTATTGTTCTTCATGTTCTTGGTCTCTTGGGCTAACTCGACAGTTTCCGCTGGAGAAATGGTGGAAGCAACCTCGGCATGGTGATTGGCGGCGGCAACTACAGCAACGATAACCGGGTTCTTGCTGTTCTCGAAGTTGAAGTCATCGCCGGAGATGATGGTCTCCTCGATCTTGGCTTCTTCTTTGGCCTTAGGGCTCTCTGATTCAACTCGTTCAGCTGCAATGCTCGACTCCATTGACTCAACTCGATTCGCTCTTCTGTTGAATATGGCGGGGGGAAAGTCGGTTATTCAGTTAAGGAGAGAAAGTTGTTGCTTTGTGGACTGTGATTTGGGAAATGGACATGAATTTTATAAGCGAAATTACAAGGTAAAGTCCAATGAATAACTGCCACGTGTCCTTTTCCCCTCTTCCATTCAGTCTGATTTGGATAAAACAGTTTCATGTAGACAAATAGGATCGAATCGAATAAACCTAAAATTGAACCGCATAATATAAAATTCATAAAGGATGTGGAATACCAGTTTAGGACTAAATCCTAAAGTTGGAAAGTTTGTGGGAAATTGAATCGAATTAAGATTATTTTGAATTTTAGATAAATTTATTGATGAGAAAAAATTTTGAGATTAAAATGAATAAAATTTAAAGTATAAAATTGTATTAGAAATTAAAGTCTGAAATTTAAAATTTTGATGTTAACATTATTGCTAATACAATATATAAAAAGACGTAGATTGATAATATTATTATTGTTATAATATATAAAAGTACGTGGACTCCAGTGTGTTTTAACATACAATTTTTTAATTAAAAATATTTTTGAACAATTAAGTATCATGTAGAAAATAATTAATCGTACATAAATGTTGAGCTAGGCCCAAACACAAGTAAGATAAGTGTCACTTATTTTAGGGTTACATCCTTTATACATAAGCACCATATGAAAAGTAACTGTCTCTAGTTTCACCTCCACCAAACAAACCAAACTCTACAGCTTCCGTAATCAAGCAGTTCGACCATTGTAAGTTAGTTACGTCTGTCTTCTTCTTCTTCACCGTCTTCTTCGTTGTTCTTACGGTGGTGAAAATTGATTCTTTTTCCCAACTGGCGGATGTTGAGACGGAGGTGGCGGCAGCCGGAGTGCCCAAGAAGAGAACATTCAAGAAAGTTGCATTTTTTGTATAATGAACGTCATCTGATCTTTTGTTGTGTATGTTGCTGAATTCTCATTGTAAATCGGGTATTGTCCCGATTCGAAGTCTTTAGTGTTTAATTGTTCTGTTTAAGCTTAACTATTATACTCATCTTACGTCTTAAACCAGAAAAGGGAGGCTCCACCTGGTGAGAACCCACCTCCGCAATATGATCATTGTGCCCGAAATGATCGGTAGCATCATTGGTGTCTACAACGGAAAGACATTCAATCAGGTTGAAATCAAGCCTGAAATGATTAGCCATTACCTTGCAGAGTTCTCCATTTCATACAAGCCGGTTAAGCACGGTAGACCTGGTATTGGTGCTACTCTCTCTTCGAGGTTCATTCCTCTGAAGTGAAGTCCTTTCCTGCAAGCTTGGATGCTCAATCTGGGGGTTAGTGTGAAGACATATTTGAGGTTAACTTTTGTTTGGAAATCAAATTTGTTTAACCTTTTGGTTTGTATTTTAGATAAATGAGACTTTGAGGTACCTTTGGATGATAGTTCTAAGTTTTTATTGTAGTTGAAGATGTCAGTGTCGAATCCGATATTCGAGATTCTTGCAATGTTGTAGTTGTAGACTTTTCGACATCGGCAGCTATCATCTGTTAAGAAGAGTCGATAAACTGAATTGGAATATATACACATACAAAGTTAGGTATTGTCCATTTCAAATGCTGTTGAAAAATGGACTTTTGCTCAAGATTGTAGGTTCTTCAACGACATTATCAGCATGATGTGCTTTAACAACGCCAAAATTATAAACTATACCAACGTTGGCGCCAGGAGGGAGCATGGAATACAAGGCAGTGTAGCATTTTTTTCTCTTCCGGTTCTCTCATCCATCTTGTGCTTAAAATCCTCCTGGTTTTTGTCGACTTTGGTGTTACTGTTGGCATGTTACTAAGTTGCGGATACTATTTACAGTCATAGTGACCTTGAAAATTATTATGATGTTGTCGTTATGTTGCGTTGCAACCACAATTTAATACTATGACTCAAGAACTCGATCACTCTCTTGTTCATGTTCCCAGAGTTCACTCGTTATTATGACCATGAGTTTCAATGCAATTTAGGGTGGTTTTGGATATGGCTGAAGGGGCTGGCGATGGCCTTGGGTCCCCTAAATGGTAAAGATACAATTTTAATCCTTTTATATTTTAAAGTTTAAAAATGACGAAATTGCATTCTATCCCCCTTTTAAATGTTAAAATCTCAATGAAATCCCTTTGAAACATATACAATTTTAGGTCAAATCGATGATAAAATTATATTTTCATCCTACAAAAAAGTATAATATATTCTTGGTCCCCCTCTCAAAATTTCTAATTATATAATTTGGTTGGAAGCCATCGAGTTCAAATCCAATGCGCAAACCTAATTATATAACTTTATTCCTTGACAATATAACTTTAATTGAACTCCACTAATTGGTCCAATGGCCTGTAGAGAAGAAATTTCCATTTGGACAATTGAACAAACACACAGGCTGCAGTTTCTAATGGATGCTTGAATCACAACCCAGCCCATTAGAGACCAAATCTTGCAACTTCAAAGCTTAAACCAGTTCAGAACTATCAGTTTCGAGGCACTTTGATCACCAGCTGGCTGCTGCAGCTAGCCTTTCGTGCTTTTGTTTTTTTTTCTTTTCTTTTCGCTCTTCGGTTGTGAATACAGCGCGCGCCAAATGAAAGAAATGCATTTTGCTTGGAGGTGACTCGAAATGTTTGGTATTTCATACGGAGAGCTCTTTCTTTTGGTCGGAGCCACCGCTGCTCTTGTTGGTATTCCTTCTTCCCCTCTAAATATGCTTACTTTTATATTGCTTGTTCTTTTTAGGTTATTGGGATTATGGGATTTGTAGGAATACTGCCATTTTGTTTAAAGGAAAAATTAAAAGTCAAAAACTGAAATGGGTTTACCGTATTATCGTTTATAGGACCAAAGGATCTGCCTAGAATTGCTAGAGCAGCTGGAAGGTTAGCAGGTCGATCAATCGGATATGTTCAATTAGCTCGTGGCCATTTCGATAATGTTATGCAACAATCTCAAGCTCGTCAGGTACATTAACGAATTAGATGTTATGTTCCTGTTGTTCTTCCTGCCAAGAATTTTGGGAGTGCTTTATTGTCCATTGAAAGTAAAATTTTGTATACTATCTAGTTTGTTACATAGATCATATAGAGAATGATTTGTTTATAACACGCTTAGACCGTGGAGATCGTTGTGATGATGACGAATTTAGGGAGGTTTTTTCTTTCACCTTATGATAATCTGGTGTCTTTAGGTTTACAAAGAGCTTCAAGATACAATGGCACAGCTGGATGCAATTCGGCATGAAATCCGCAGTTTATCTCTTGTTAATCCTGGTCCTATGACCAGAAGACTGATGGAAAATCCTCCAGAGCCTGCTTCTGATAGTAATGATATTAGTCTTAGTTTAATCATATGCATCCGATCGCATTGCTACCTTGTTCTACTTTGCCTTTCTTAACTTCCTCCCATGACCATTTCTAGTTACAATTCCACCTGAGAAATGTGAAGAAGAGAGGAATTCAGCCGATATGTTGAAGAAGGTTTAGCATCTAATCACTATTATTTATACCCTATTTTTTGTTGAGTTTGTATGTTTTCATTTGTTCATTATTCTTTCACTTGCATCCTTCTCAGGATTATAATTTAAAGCCCTCGGTTTCGACTGATTTGCATAGTCAGGCAACTGCTTATGCAAGGTTTCTGAATCTGAAGCTGTTAAAACTGGTTCAGTGGGATGTGTGTAAAAGAAGAAAATCTTAATTACGAATTCGGTGATTTCACTGTTTTTCCGGTTTCAGCTGAAAGTGCTAAACTTCTTCCAGAACGAAAAGGTCGTAAGATTTCTTAGAATCATTTATTAGATGTTCTTTTGCTTCTTTTATGTTTGTCTGCACCGTCAAGTTGAGGATTACTAGATATTGTTTTGAGGTCTCTATAGGCCATGTTCTCCTTTGAAGAATTTCTGATTTTATATACTCTTGTAAATTGTCTCTATTGGCCATTTTCGTATATGAATGTGTATATGTCGATGAAAGTCGAGAGTTCCGAAACCGTGTTGTTAACTTCCTGTTGATATGCATACAATATCATTTTGAACATGATAATCTAGAACTTGTTGCTGATGCATATTAAGCATATGCACCAGCTGACTGTTGATATGCATGCACAATCGTCTGAAACATAATATTTTAGTACTTATTGCCAATGCTTGTTAAGTACATGTTACGAGTGTGTCCGTTAATCGTGTCGGCAGAAAGCGCAAAAGGATCAGACCTTGTGTTGGAAGCAGTGGTGGAGGCCGAGGTGGCGCGAAATGCCAAAGAGTTCTTTTCTCCGCCTCAAAATCAAATACAGTAAATAAGAAGTTATTGCTAGTCTTGGCTTTCATCTCAGCAGTATGGTTATCTATGCCGATTTGCAGTATGGTCATCCATGTCGATTTGTATTCTCTATTGATGGTCTAATTCTATATCTTTTGTAGTTTTATAATTATGTACACTTTAATTTTTTAATATATTTTTCTAAAAAATCGTATTTTCGAAATAAAATCTTAGTTCTGTCCGTACTATAGATCCCTTTTCTTAAAAGTAATTAAATAATGAGAAGTATATTGAAGAGAGATTTTGGGTGCCTCCACAATGATTCGGTTGTACATCTATAACGTGACCAGTTTGCACAAATTATATATAAAATAATGAATCACCAGATCCAATAAGTCGGTCCATTAACAACTAAATAGACTGGTAGGTGGCTATACAAAACCCATCTCAAATAATAAAAAATAAATAAATACTATTTCGTTCAATTCAACATTTATAATAATTGATTTAGTAATTATTTTATTGAAATTAAATTAATTATATAATTTAGTACTTATAATGATGTTGTTACTCTCATTAAAGTTAAACTAAGTGTATAATTCAACGTGTGTAATAATTAATTCTAATTACAATGGTTATTTTAATTAAAGATTTATAATTTAAAAAAATTAAATTGTTTATCAAGTGCGATAGCATTAAACTTCTATTCATTATATAATCTTATCTTCACTCGACAAGTTTTATTTTATATTTTAATCATCAAATTTAATTTAATTGGTATTATGATGGATACATTATATAAAAGAATACAAGATTAAGCATATTTAAACCTTCAATATTCATTGATTTTCAAGTAAAGAGAAATCTAGATAATATAAATATTAAATTAAAGAAATATTTTATATTTTTCATTATCCCAAAACTGCTCATACTTGATAAAAAAAAGCATTAATGGCAATGAATGAAATGCCCCATCAACATGCACATGGCAATGTTCCCCAATCTCTCATGGGCTCCTAAAATTTTAATAAATTCCAACACAAATATTATATACATAAAAGAAATTCAAAAATAATTCTAATAAATTTATCTGAAATATCAGTTCAGTTCAAACTATTACTGTTATAACAATTCAAAAATTATAATTTAAGTGTATTTAATATCTTTTTTATTAAGTAAAGAGGTATTACACGTAAATGTCGAGATTCAATCTCACATAAGGTGAGATGATATGAACATTTTTACCACTAGATCAATTAATGGATTTCAATGTATATAATATCTTTATAATATGGTTGAAAAGATTATGATTAACTGAAAGAGTGTATAAAAAAACACTATTAGCATTAAAACTAAGGGGAAGAATAAAACACAGAGACAGCAAACAATGACAGAAAACATGTGATCAATTATTAAACAAATTCTCCCTCCATTAGCAGTAAACAAAAGGCAGACAATGGAGTTCAAGTTCATTACTTCTTCTTGTTCATTACACAAATGTCCCAAATATATTTGCATATCTATATATTACCAAAACATATATGAAAAATATCAAATAAAATACACATACACCATCTAGACCAGTTACTCTAATTCCAGGATCTTTACTGCTTTAGGCTCTGCTCTTGCATTTCTCCATCGATCCAATACCAAGCCCGATTGCTTCCGATCCCTTCATTATACGCAAACGCTTGCACGAATCAACAAACATCCTGCAAAAAAAAAAGTTTAAACCTTAATCAACAACTTAACATAGGTACACATACATATTGGGCCCAAGTTGAGGTGAACTGCTAGGAGGAGTACATGCATGAACATGGAGGCACATAACTAGGAACAGTACTTTTATGTCTGATATATATATAGTATATGTATAAAAACATACTCCCATGGGACATCGCCCACGAGCATCCAGTCGCCATCCTTATCTTCATAGGTTGGCACATAATCAGAACTGTTGAGAAGATCCATCAACTTGCTATCGTGCATAAAGTCTATCATACTTTGAGATCCATAATTCGCTTCTAAAAAAAATAATTCGTCAATGAATCAGATAATGACACATGACGTGAAAAATATAGTTATCGTTATCAAATGTATGTAAAGTTACCCATAGTGAAGGAACTGAACATCTTGGCCAAGGCATCACATAAATTTTGGTAGCTGTTGTACAACTTCAGATCCACCTTACGCAAATATGGTGCACCATCCATGCTAACCTTGACAAGGGCAGCTTTCTCACATTCCTCGCTGTTGTTCTTCTGGTTAGCCATAATGTTCTTCCGATAAGATCGAACTGGTGGCCAACCCAATACTTGTGCCCTAGAAAATCCAACCACGATATAAACAACACATGATAATGTAAGAAAGTGTGGGTAGTTTTTATTTTTTGGACATACTTGGCTGGTGGTTTTGCAGGATCTTTGGTGCATGAAGTTTCTTCTGAACCATTCCCTAGGTTGTGGTTCAGATCCATGCCAGCTTCCTTGGATTGAAGATTAAGCTTCAAATCAACAGTCTCGGAGAACCCTCTTTTCCCTGTGGTCTTTTGAGAACTTTCCACTTCATTTTCACCACCACAAGCTGCGGCGGATCCTCCTCCTCCACCACCACCGGGCAACCCTAGACACAGCTCGGTCTCTTTGTAGTTCAAACCACGCTCGGTTCCTTGCATGTTGGCGATTTTTTGTGACTATCTTCAGCTTATTCGTATGTTTGTTAAAGAAATAGAGAGAGAGGTAAGAAAAAAGAGAAACCCTCAATGATATAAAAGGCTGTGGGGGAGAAGTTTGTATGGATGCATGTGTATGTCACATCATCATCATCATCCATGGTTTTTCAACACGTGGAGGGAGGTGGGACGTTAGATCCTTAACCAAAGTAGTACATTCCTTGTGGAATTAATTACTTACCCCCTTTTTTTTTCAATCATTGGATCAAGATTATAGCCACGTATTAGGTTGCTTTGTTATGCAACATAGACATAATCTTTGAGTTCTAGGGTTTCATCTTGTGGATTCTCTTCGTATATATTTTAAATATCAGTTCGATCATAATTTATTTTAATTTTTCGATTTTTTATGTTATTAAGATTTGATTTCAGATCTCTTAAATTAAGAATTCAAACACTCTATCAAACGATTATATAATTATTTATGATTAATTACGTTTAAATAAACTTAATAGTAGACTTAATCTATGAAAGAACGGTCATGTACCCACTAATTATTTTGATAACTCTTTTCAAATTGAACACTATCATCTTGTAGGTATAATGAGAAGTCACAAAAGTTTAACTAATCACGTGCATTTAAGAAGATTTTTTCTTCTTCTTTTTCTCTGAAGTTTGCTGGGAAAAGCATATAATTATGAAAGACCCAATTTAATTAATTATGATATATTGTATAAATTATGAGAGAACCTTCCATATATGTAGAATCCCACATGAATCAATAATTCATCCCATGCAATGAGACACTCAATTTTATTAAGGGTAAGCTACATGTTTAGTACCCTAACTATCATTTTTATTTTATTATGGTCATCTAATTATTATTTTTTGTAAAATCATATCTAACGTTACATTTTAATTTCATTTTGGTCACTCGCCATTAAAAAATTAACATAACTCATGACATGGTATTTTTCAAAATCATATCTAACTTTTTTAATGGTGAGTGACCAAAATGAAACTAAAACGTAACATAAGGTATGATTTTAAAATACAAAAAAGTTAAAGTGACCAAAATGAAACAAAAATAATAATTGAGATACTAAGCATATGTTTATTCTTTTATTAAATACTACTATCATGAATTACTCATCAAAACAACCGAGAAAGGCCAAAGAAAAATCAAATTTTGGATCAGTTACAGCTAAAAGACAACTTTCTTGATTTGACGCTTGGCCACTTGCCCTCCTACAGGATGACAATTAATGACATATAGGTGCAAAAACTTGTTTTTTTTAATAAAAGCAAAATACAGTTTTTTTAGTTATTTTTGACAAAATTATTTTATCCAGATGTCAATGTTTGATCAAGTAAAAGTAGTTATATTAGTCGAGTTTATAAATATCATTTTATTATTTATTTTCTATTAGATATTTATTAGTAGAATCAAGTTTATAATATTTGAGTTTGATTTAATCGAATATTTTTTTTCAGTTTTTGTTTAAATTTAAATACAATTATTTATAATATTATAATATTGATTGATTCTAATTTAAAATACTCTCTCTAGCCATATACTTTTATACATATATATATATATATATATATATATATATCATTTTCTTTTTAAAATGTGTAAGATTTATAATGTCATTTAATAAATTAAATACCTTCTAAAATTATATATATTTAATGATATTTTAAAGAAGTAATTTTTAGGGAAAATATTAATTGGAGTATAAATGAGTCAATGAATTGATGAGAATAAAGAATAAACAAAGTTTTACAACCGGATGATCAAATTAAATAAGATACAAAGTTGAGAGACTAAATTATAAATACATGAGATTTGTTGTCCAAAATAAGAATCGAAGCTAAATAGATATTCTAACGTGATTGATAAACATGTGTTCAAATTTTGTCAAAAAGATAAACTTAAGTGGAGAGGAAAATTGAAAAAATAATAAAATCAATGACTAAATTATAAAACAAACAAATTAACTAACTAAAGATCAAAATACTATTATTTTAATTTTTTAGTTATTCAAATTTGACTCTAACTTTAAATCCAAACAAGAGAAAAGGGTGGCAAATGCACGATATTGTGTAACCAAATTGGCCTATCAATTTAGTGTCAACATCACTCATTCTTGAAGGCAATGGTGGTGACTTAGAGACATGTCACATCCCTTGGAGATGGAAACAACCCTAACCCTAGTTGTGCCCTTGCCTTGTCAATATCCTCCCAAACCCCATTTCCATAGTTTCTTTCTAACCTACCTCTGTCATATCATCTTCACATACAATTATTAAGTGCACCAAAATTTTAAATATAGAAATGATATATTTATTTTATTAAGTACATTGTACTAATCATATTTTAATTATGTTTAAATGTGTCGAGGGGGAATACTTTGATTTATTTGAGAAAAAGTTATTGGATATGTCATCTATCATATAATCAATAAATAGATTTCCTCAATAATCAGAACAGAATTAGGATGAGATTATAAAAGGGGCTCAATTGTTTAACTTTGAAATTAACATGGTCTTAAAATGTAGTTAAATCAGGAAAAATAAAGGTTGGAGCTTATTTTCATTACTTTTTTAGATGATGATGTGATCTATTTTAGAGCATCATATCATCATTTATTTAACGTCATCAACAAAAAGTACGAGAAATAATCATGTTTAAACCCATTTAACCTTATAATCTTTAAAGATATCGATTGAATTAAGATTTAGATTGTAAGATTGTAAAACCTCGATCATTAATAAATAACGCAATTTTCATTATTTTTTTCTTCCCTATCTTTCCTACACCTCCTACCAACCGAAGCATGTTGATAAGTATATTAATTTTTGGTCCTACAAAATGCAATATAGAAGAATCTCCCCCACAATAATATTATTCCAAATGTTGGTGGAGGGTGAGACACTACTTGCCATGGTAGGGGGCTGCCCTAAGCCACTCTTTCCTTTGAATATATCCTCACCAGCCTGCCATTTCTATTCATTATTTCTCGCCTAACACGGTTTTGCACTAATCCATGATTAAATCCACATTCAATTTGATAATTAAGCTATGATTAAAAGTACATTATACAAATATTATCCCAATCAATTATAATAAATAGGGTAAGCTACACGTTTAGTACTTCAACTATCACTTTTATTTTGTTTTGGTCACCCAACTATTTTTTATTTAAAAATTATATGTAACGTTACGTTTTGGTTTTAATTTAGTCTCCTACAGTTAAAAAATTAATTGTGATGCTGACGTGTCACCATAAGGTAATGTCATGCATCATTATTTTTTTTAAAATGCCACGTCACTAGTTCTGTTAATTTTTTAACAGCGGGTGACCAAAATGAAATCAAAACATAACGTTAGGTATGATTTAAAAAATAATAATTTGGTGACCAAAACTGAATAAAAATGATAGTTAAAGTACTAAATGTGCAATTTACTATAATAAATAAAGGTGTTATCAGTTTTAAAAATTCAAATTCTTCTATTAGTCTCGATACAATGTGTGAGTTGGGATTTAGTCATTGTAATTTTGTTTAGTCGTTTTTAGTTTATACACTTTTTAAAATTTGAAATTTCGATCATCACTAAACAATAGTCGTAAAGTTTAAGTCACATAATAATGTTGATCTTTATATTATGTGAAAGTTGTTGATTTAATTCTTAATCTTTAATTTGATCATTTTAAGTTTTTGTAATTTAGTCATATTATCTCTAAAAATTTTAAATTACGATTAAAATCTCAAAACCTAAAAGGATAAACTACATTCATGATCACTTAAATATGAGAGATTCTAATATGACCATTGATTTTTTAATTTTATTAAAAATATCATTTAAGTATTTAAATGATGTCAATGAAGCCATTTGTCGTTAACATTTGACGAAGGAGCTGACATGATAGTTAACAGAATTGATATAATTATACATTTAATCCTCATTGCTTACACATTCTACCAAATTGGTCCTAATTTTAATGTAATTCAATAAATTTAATCATTCAATCAAATGTTGACCAAATTTATTGAGTTAAATTAAAATTAAGACCAAGTTGATCGACTGTGTAAGTAATGAGGATCACATGTATAATTATATCAATTTTTTAACTATCTTGTTAACTCCTCCGTGAAATGTTAATGATAGATAGTTTGATTGACATCATTTAAATACTTAAGTGATCTGATTGATAAAATTGAAAAATCAATGGTCAAATTAAAATTATCCATAATTAAGTGGTCATGGGTGTAGTTTACCCATTTAAGAAGTATATAGGTTAAAATAAACTATATTAAAATCATAAAAGTAAATCAATAATTTTATAATAAAATACAACGATTTATAATTGAAAGGCTTAATATAAAAAAGTTATTACACTATATCTATTTCCCTTCTTTAGTAGCATTTGCTCAATGATTTTATGTCCTAATATGCATGTCATTGACTCAAATTAAGGGATCATAATCAGGGAGTAAAATTACAGAAGACATAATATATACTATCGCGCCGCTCTAAGTACTTTTTATTATTTCATTGAAACCAAAGAGGATATCATATCAGTTTAGTGGGTGACACAAGGGATCATCAAGCTTTTCTTTTTCTTTTAAGGAGATTACGTTAAAAAATTTAATATAATTATTTATATTTAATTTATTAATAGATTAATATATATTAGCACTACATAAATTTATTACCAAATGATTTTTTAATTTAATTTATTCCATTTACAAAAAAGTCTATCAAACGATTTCAGTGATAAAATATAATGTCATTCTCTTTAAAGATTTTGGATTTAAACAGTTGCGTTTGCAGGATATGTATCGTTAATGATCAAGAAAATTTTTGAGCATATACTACATTATAATCAATCGCGGACTATTAAAAAAACATTCCATATACAACGTTAAATTTGAATATTGACCGATGCCTTGTGTATGCAGAAGATTTCCGTTGGGAGATTCACTCATCAAAATTAAATATACAACACGAGTTAGTGTGAATTAATCATGACAAAACCCTGAAAAAACTAGAGGACAATAAAAAAAATTTAATTATGATCTTATTTAAATAATCTAA